TCCTCAAATATTTTTAGATCTGATGAATAAATGCTTAGATACAAAACCTCAAAACAGACCAACTGCTAAAGAACTAGCTAATACGTTGGGTCAATTTTTTGAATCTAGAAGATTGTAATTACAGGATGGTTATGGAGTATACAAAACAAGAAAGTCTCAAAAAATTATTAAATAGTAAATATGGTAAATTAGATTGGGCTTCACTTATACAGTATTATATAGCTAATAGGCTTAATATAATTTATGAAGCCTATAAAGATTTTCTTCCGGCAATATAGTTAATTATGTTTAGTTCTTACATTACTGATTTTGGTTTATGTAGGCTAGTATTACAAGACTCAAATTCTAAAAAACTTTTGATGTACTTCTGTATATTGCCCCAGAAGTACTATATACAAATGGAAAGGAATACACTCAAAAATCAAATATTTGTTCTTTCTGAATAATTATATCAGAAGTTTTTACTAGATGTCTTTCATATAATGATATTCCACACAATGAAGATCTAACAACACGTATTTGTCTAGATTACAGATCTACAGAAGTTTTTAAATTAATTTGAAACTGATAAATAAATGCTTAGACGCAAAACCTCAAAATAGACCAACTGCTAAAGAACTAGCTAATACATCAGGTCAATTTTTGAACTTAGAAGATAGTAACTACAGGATATTTATAGAGTACGCAAAACAAGGAAGTCTTGAAAATTATTATAGTAAATTAGATTGGGCTTCTATAGTTGATTAAAATATGTTTAGTTTTTATATTACTAATTTTGGTTTATATAGGCCAGTATCTCAAGACTCAAATTCTAAAGAACTTTTTGGTATACTTCTGTATATTGCCTAGAAGTACTATACACAAACGGAAAGGAATATACCCAAAACTCAGATATTACTCTTTTGGAACAATTATGTTAGAAGTTTTTATTGGATATCTTCTATATTATGATATTCCACACAATGAAGATCTAGCAACATATATTTGTCTAGATTACAGGTCTACAATTAAATGTAAAGTTCCTCAATTACTTTTGAATCTGATGAATAAATGCTTAGACGCAAAACCTCGAAACAGACCAACTGTTGAAGAACTAGCTAATACATTGGGTCAATTTTTGAACCCAGAAGATAGTAACTACAGGATGGTTATAAAGTATGCAAAACAGAGAAGTCTCAAAAAAATTATTAAATAGTGGGCTTCTATAGTTAATCAAATATGTTTAGTTCTTATATTACTGATTTTGGTTTATGTAGGCCAGTATTACAAGACTCAAATTCTAAAGAACTTTTTGATATACTTCCATATATTGCCCAGAAGTACTGTACATAAATGGAAAGAAATACACTCAAAAAATTAGATATTACTCTTTCAGAACAATTATGTTAGAAGTTTTTACTGAATATCTTTCATATTATGCTATTCCATACAACAAAGATCTAGCAACACGTATTTGTCTATATTACAGGTCTACAATTAAATGCAAAGTTCCTAAATTAATTTAAAACTGATGAATAAATGCTCAGTAAAGATTGCGCTGGAAAAAGATAGATTTCTGTTTAAACATGTTAATTATATTCTCAAATCACAGGTAAATAAAAAATATAATAACAATTCATTAATTAAAAGTCAACTATCTTATTTATTCCATGATATACTGTTTCAAGCGATATCAAACAAAAGTTATAAAAAGATATAGTAATTTTTGGTAGCTAATAGAATGCTTGGTAAAGAAATATCCTTACTGTATCTTGCCTGATTTTCCACCAAAGAAAATTGGAGATAAATTTCCTAATTGATTATTAATTATTAAAAAATCAGATTTTAGAGTAATCTGATATTTGTTTAATCTAGTTAATGGATTTTATTTTACAGTTAATAAATCTTTTTTGAAAAAATGGCAGAAGGAGTTGGCACATTTTTTGAATTTTATTATAAAACATCCAGTTTTAAAAGATGATCAATTGGTAGAAATGTTTCTTACAGAACAAATGATAAGTTCACTAGATTTCTCTTCAAATTATAAATTCAATTTTTTATGTAGTATATATATATTATTAAATTAGGAAATAGCAGTGTGGCGTAGAATGAATTCACCAGATTTAGAAGAAGAATACTTTAAAAGACAGATTACACCTAAAATAGAATGGCATATATCTGAAGATTTAAATAAAAGATTAGAAAAAGCTATAAAGAAATTAAATGACACTAGATGCAAAACCTCAAAATAGACCAACTGCTAAAAAACTAGCTAATACGTTGGGTCAATTTTTGAACCCAGAAGATAATAACTACAGGATGTTTATGGAGTACGCAAAACAGGGAAGTTTTAAAAAATTATTAGATAGTAAATATGGTAAATTAAATTGGGCTTCTATAGTTAATTAAAATATATTTAGTTTTTACATTACTGATTTTGGTTTATGTAAGCCAGTATCACAAGGCTCAAATTCTAAAGAACTTTTTGATGTACTTCCATATATTGCCCAGAAGACTGTATACAAACAGAAAAGAATACATCCAAAAATCAGATATTACTCTTTCAGAACAATTATATTAGAAGTTTTTATTGGATATCTTCCATATTATGATATTTTACACAATGAAGATCCAGTAACACATATTTGTCTAGATTACAGGCCTACAATTAAATGCGAAGTTCTTCAATTACTTTTGAATCTGATGAATAAATGCTTAGATGCAAAACCTTAAAACAGACCAACTGTTGAAGAACTAGCTAATACATTGGATCAATTTTTTGAACCCAAAAGATAGTAACTACAGGATAGTTATGGAGTATAAAAAATATAGAAGTCTCAGAAAATTGTTAGATAGTAAATATAGTAAATTAGATTGGGCTTCTAAAGTAGCAACCTTATATTACATAGCTGATAGGCTTAATACAATTCATGAAGCTCATAAAGATTTTTATTCTGGCAATATAGTTAATTAAAATATGTTTAGTTCTTACTATATACAAACATGTGCCCTGTAGTTGCTAAAACATTGTAGGTAATGTGATTACGCCCTTCCTGGTGCATTACATAATTATAATTTTAGGATTAGTGTTGGGTTAGATAGGATTGGTATTGGGCTAGGGTTAGTTTAGTTCAGTTAGTTTAGTACATTAGAGTTAGAGCTAGAATTAGAATTAGATAGTTAATTTTAAATAGTGTTATTTCAAATTTGTTATGCGAATTGTTATGCATAATTAGTTTTTTTTTTTTTTTACTTGATTAAAAAAATTTTTTTAAAAAAACAGTGTAGAAAACTCAATTTTTATTATTCAAATAAAAAAATACAAATAATCACTACTAAATCTAACTAGAATCTACTACCGCATTGCATCCAAAATTTCATGCTACATATAATTCTAAAACCAAATCTAACCACTATACTATATTAGCTATAATATCCCGAAATTCTAAATCTAACTACTACTTTTAATATTCTGAATCTAATTATCATGCTACATTCAGCTCTAACATGCCAAATCTAACTATCATGCTGCATCTCAAAATCTAACTATTATACTACATACAATCCTAATATTCAAATCTAACTACTATACTATATTAGTTCTAATATCTCAAATCTAACTATGTCTAGTTCTAATGCCCTGGATCGCTATGTCTAGTTCTAACTATTGTGCTATGTCTAATACCTGAATCTAAGTACTATACTAGTTTATATTCAGTTCTAACTATTGTGCTATATTTATAGTTCTAATTAAGATAGTGAAAATTCTAATACAATAGCTAAACTTAAAATTTTTGATGATAAAAGTTCAAATTTCTAAGAGTGGCACTAAGACAATAAAAGCCTTAAGACCAAAATCTTTAGCGATTATACTAGTAAAAATTGAAGCAAGTTTTTTATATAAGTTTTAAACAAAGTTTTTTTTTACTAAGTTAATCTTTTTTTAAGCTTAACATAATTGTAGAGCTCATTTTTGTGGTTCTAATGATGGTAGTTCTTGAAATATTATAATTTTTCTTTCTTTATATATATAAAACTTTAAAAAAGTTTTATATGTAAAAAAAAAAAGTAAAGTTATAATATCTCCACTATTAAAACCACAAAAATGAGCTTTACAACTTTTCTTTAGTAAAAAAAAAAAATTTTGCTTTGAGCTAATATCAAATTTCACTTTATAGTATTATAGATATCTAAATTTATACAATAATCTACATTATGCATATTTGTTTATTTGTTTACATTTTTTGTTTACATTTTTTAACCAATTAAAACAAATGTCCACCATGCTCCATTTTTCTAGTTATTACGGCCAATTAAATGTATTGTGGGTCCCCAGCCGATTAAAATACAAACCTCTATATATGCACTCTCTATAAATGCATACCTCTATAATTGTATTCTCTTTTAAATGCATGCCCTCTATAAATGCGGGCTCATAATCGATTCCAAGAGGGTGCATATATAGATGTTTGTATAATGTAAATATAGCAATAGACAATTTAAAATATAGTAACCTGACATTCCCTCTAGCCAATTAAAATGAAATGTGGTAACCTGACACCCCCTCTGGCTAATTAAAATAAAATGTAGTAATCTGACCCCCCTGGCCAATTAAAATGAAATGTGGTAACCTAACCCCCCTGGCCAATTAAAATGAAATGTGGTAACCTGACTCCCTTTCTGGCCAATTAAAATAAAATATAGTAACCTGACACCTCCTCAAATTAGCATTATGCTGTATAATGAGCAGGTAAATTTTAAGGTCCGTCATAGTATAAAATTGGTGTCTCTAGTACGTGTAACCTGACTTTTAGCTACACTCTCTCCCTGTGTAAATGCTGAAATGTAACCTGACTGTCGCTACACTCCATAATGCGATTTTTTTTTTACAAAGAATCTTATAAGCTTTATTATAGACTTTCTTATATAGAATCTTATATTCATATATTTACTAATTATCTTACTGTTTTTTTACATACTTATACTTATTTGGCATCAAAAAAAATTGAGTTTGCACAACTATGACTTTTGGCCACATTTTCGAGTATGAAGACAGCAAAGAAAAATTATCCATGGTTACCGAGTTGGTTTGAGATTTTAAATGTTGCTTTTTTAAATTAGAATAAACTGTTTTTTTATGCTTTACAAGCATAGTCATTGTAGTGAAGTATTTCTTACATTTTTTACAGCACTGCTTTGAATAATCCTCCGATGAGAGAGAGAAGATGTGAATCATAAGCAAGAATTTTTAGGTTGCTAAATATTGAAGCATTTGTATAGCATTAAGATAATGACTATCTTTTCTCTTAATTACTGGAGATAAGAAGCCATTATTTTCACCTAAAAATGCAGCTGCTTTATCAGCTCATTTTGAAGTACAACAGGATAAATCATTGCATTTTTTAATATCTAAGGAATATCAGCAAATTTGACAGTAAGATTCCACTCATGACCAAGGTACGAGTATTTCTTCTTCATTTACATTCTGTTCAAATTCTGATAGAAATTTAACATTGATAAATGGATCTTGCTTTTCATCGATGTACTCAGCAAAAACAGGATTGTCATAAATAGGATCTTTTTTCCACAAATCAGCTAGGGCCTAACCTGCATAATGAAAGTTATGAAGTTTCAATTCATAATCACAAATCTCTTCTTGTGAGTTTAGATGGTTCCCAAAATGATTAATTTGTAATGTAATTCCAGCAAGTTTTCCTGAAAGCGTTGCCATACTTCTCTCCACAGAATTATAAGACGACTGGCCAGGTATGTGTGTTCTAATTGTTATGTAATCCAAATCTAAATAACGAAATAACTTGCAATATTGATTTATGTTTTTTAAATGACAAGGGTTCTCGTCGAGCCCACCATCTACAAGAATAACCCATAAGGGCTTGACCACTCCACCATGTTTAAAAATTGTAGCAAAGTCTTCATTATCTATAAGGATAGTAAAAAAAAAAAAAAAAAGGTACATATTTTTTTTATGATTTAAAACAGGTGATGATTAAAGTCTTAATAGTTAAGTCTACTAGTATATTAAGTTTATAATCATCATCATCAGTTTTAACTGTAGTTAACTATTTGTAACAGAATTAATAAAAAATTTTTGAAAAATTTGTTATATATTTTTTTACTAATACTGTAATATTCACAAAACTACTGTTCTTGGTACTGTTCTTGATGGGACAAAAAAAAACAATTTATATACCGTTTCTGATTGGGTACTAAGCTACTATCAGGGTATAAGTAGGGATGGATAAGTTCAGTTCAGTCTGTTCAGTCCTAAAAAGACCGGTCTATTAGTTTTTTTAGTCCAGTCTCGGTCCCAATAATGGTCTTTAATTATTTAATCTTATTGGCTAGTGGAGAAAATCAAATTATATGATGTTGGTAATTGAAAATAAAAGATTATATAACATATTTTTTAATTAGCTATTTGAATTATTTAGAGGAACCAGTCCAGACTGGTCTCAGGACCAAGGACCAGTTAACCATAAGACTGGTTAAAAGACTGGTCTTTATTTAGTCTTTTCAGGACTAATCTATCCCTATATATAAGGCTATTGCATAAAAATTTGGCAGTCCACTATTACTGCTCAACTAGATTATAATAGAAATGCATAACAAAAAATTCAAAAAAAACAGAGATTAGTATTTAATCATTTATAGCTGTTTTCATAAGTTCTAGGACAACTAATAAAAATTATTTCGGCCGAATTCGATAAGTTTTTGAATTTAGTGTTATCGAACTTATTGAATTCAGCTGATCAATTTTTATCATTTGTCCCGGAATTTATGTAAACAGCTGTAATAAGTTTTTTGACCCAAATTTTCTTACCAAATTCACGCGAAATATTGCCCATAATCATTATTTTAAGACATGTAATTCAAAGAGAGTTAATATTTAATTTAGACGAATACAACCATAATTTTAATGCTAATAATTCTTTTGCTAAATTAATTATTAGCTCTCTTCAAATTACTTGTCTCGAATAATGCCTATGGAAGTTTTTTACGTAGATACAATACAGTATTATTTTGTGCCCAATATTTAGTAAAGTTGAAATCAACGTTGTGAATCAATTATGGGTCGTGAATTAGCATTTGAATTATAACTAAGCATTGTCATAAGAATTGACTTTGGGATTTTTTTTAAGAACTCTAGGAATGGTATGTAAATCAATTTTTTTTTCATCCCATCAAGAACAGTACCAACGATGGTATTTTTGAATAATATTATAATATTCATAACAGATTTTCAATAAATTTGAAATTAATTTGTTATATATATGTCTGTTATATTGATAATTGCTGTACATAAGGTATACAAACTTAATTAATTGGTTCTCATAACCTGGCCGGGTCAAATTCAACAAAATATTTACTATCCGGGTAAATTTTTTTAAATTTTTGTAAAAAAATTTTATGAGAACCAAAAAAATTAATTTTATATGGCCTAATAAAAAAAATTTATTATCCTTAATTACCTACTAAAGACAGAAGATCCGTCATATATGAAGTAGATGAAAGACCAATATGCCATTAAGCTTGGATAAAGATTGCTAACTGACTATTTTGCTGAGATTCATTTGATTCATTGGGGTTTATTGTTAAATATACTGATGGTGTTAATTTTTGGGACGAGCCAATAGGGAAATCATGGTTGGCAATGGAAACAGGTTCATGAATAGTTTGCATAGTTTGAAAATATTTTCTCACAGCTGGAATACCGATCGGAACCTTCGCCTTATCATCTTGAGAAAGCACTACTGCATTTTTGACAGTTGCTTTTTTTATCTCTTGAAATACCCGCAATTCCAACAAAAGCAAAATGGTGGTGGGTTCTTGCAGCTAAACTACAGTTTGACTGGAGTAAGATGTAGTTTCTCATAGTTGTTTAAGACATGTATATGTTATAATTTTTCTCCAAAGCACTTCAAAGATGATTTACTGTTCTGACCTTAATAATTTTATGTCTTCTTCTTGCATCAGTTTCTCCAAATTCTATGCAACTATGGATTTGTTCGTGAAGATTTGGGTGCTGGAATAGAAGGGGCAGATATCCAGGAGAATCATATCTTATAACTACACTATCATCTTCGAGTGTTTTAAGCTTTTTCATTTGAGATTTTTGTTGATTATGCGCATGCCTTTTGAGGTTTCTAAGTCGATTTTCTTTTTTTATATCTTTTTGAACTGCAGTTATCCGTAAACTAAGGTCATTGTGAAGCTAAAGATTAGTTGTTATTGAAGCCATTGAATTTAATTCATCTAATTCTTTTTTTAATCTTTCTATTTCATTAAAAACTTGCTTTTGCACTGTTGCATTATGACAAATTGGTTCAAATGAAAAAGAACTAGAAGAACTTTGTAATTGTTGATTGTGAAGAAGGTGGAAAAAGCTGTCTACTAGTAGTGGAAACTGTCATACAGCCACGCAATTGAACTGGAGTAGTTAAGTACTCTCTAATTTTTTTTCAATTTCTTCAATTTTTTTTTTTTTTTTACAGAATGCTATTCCGTAGCTGCCTCATTACATATAGCTTTTTTATTTATTAATGACATTCTGCTTGGTGCCATTTTGTAGTAGACAAATGCATTGACAAAACGTTGGTAGGTATTTTTAGGATTTGAATAAACATATGTTTTGTCAAACTTTGGCGTGGATAAAAAAGTCTGTATCATGAATTATCAAGAGTTCTGTTTATTGGAAACGAAAACGATGAATTTTTATATATAGTTTTTTTTTGCTTCTAGTCATATATTATATTAATATAACTAATACTTGTATTATTATTAAAGATAAGATTTATCAAGCAGATCTTTGTTTATTTTAAGATTTTTTTTTACAGTACATGCTAAACGAGTTCAAATTGGTTTTGCAAAAATATTTATTTAGCTTTATAGATTAAGACAGGAGCAGTAAGAATTGGTTTAAAGAGAATACTGTAATATTGTATATATGTATATATTTGGATTGAATCATTTTAATTAAATGAAACAATAATATAAGATAGAATTAATACTAAATTCATGCAGAAGCTTTACTTTTTCTATTTATTTTTGCTTTTTTGCATTCATGCATGGGATCTATTTACGTACATCATCCTTTTGGATACCAATTCCTTATATATTATTGATTATCTGTCTTGGACAACAAGAATGATCACTCCATTAGAATTTTTTTCTTGCATGCTATATAAGTGTGTAATGACACCCACCTTGCATTATCTCGAATATGTGCATTCATTATTGATAATGATTAATTCTTTTGATTTTCAAATAGCACCCACCAAAGAAAATCTATAATTACAATGCATACAGGTTTTCTCCTGGCATTAACTATAACGGGCAATTTTAATACTCACCAGAGGTGAAGTTTACCAGAATGCTATTTCTTAAAAACGGCATTGGTAATTGTGACTTGGAATACTCATAAAAGACCCTAAAGAGTATCTATTTTCTAATCTTAAAATTTAAATCTATTTAACTTTAAAATTTGGGAACTTTACTATCCTTATACAGAAAAGTGAAAACTCGCAACATACCGATTATGTATTAATTTTAACATATTTATTTGAAACTTAATAATAAAAATATATCTGTTTGGTGACATTCATAATTTATATTAAACCAGTACAGTATTGTGTAAAATAGAGACCTTGAAGATAATTCTACATAGTATTATTTTTGTATTCTCTTTAAGATCTTTATAACAATTCAGGTTTAACGTAAATTATGGACATCCCTTTTAAATTGTTTTTTAATTCAAGTATTTGCATAGACTATTCAAATTCATAAATATATACTTATATTATTTTTCATTTAGCCATAGGGTTGTTAAAGTTGCCGACTATTAGTAAAATGCACCTTTTTATAGTTGTCATCAGCGTTCTTAATGGTGTTGTTAAAGGTGTGCTTTTCAGAAATTATATAAACTCTAAAGAGGAAAAGCAATTAACAGGTGCTCTTCAGGAACTACATTCTTACTTTTGGTTTGAAAAAGCAATTACAAATACTATTCAAAAACAACATGCTGATTTTGGCTATGACAAACTTTGAAATAAAAGGTGTAGAAGTGTTAACAGATGAGTTTTAAGGAACAATGCACTGACTAACTTTTACCAAAGAGTGGAAAATGCACTTCGCAAGAAAAAACACTTAATTCTAAAAATATAATTAATTATCTGATCATTTGCTAATTCTTTTTCTCTTCTGTTTCAAGATCATTAGTCCAAAGATTCAAATCTTTCAGAACATTGCTCTTGCAAAGTGCATCTACTCTAAAACTGAAGAGTGTACATGCTAATACTTTTCCTTCTCCTAGTTCATCTTTTCAGGTATTTTTGTAGAGTGCATCTGCTAATGTTTTTATCATTCCAATTCAGGATCATTACTTTGAAGATTCTACTTCAAAATATTGTTCTTGCAAAATATATTCATTGGTGCTTTTTCTTCCTACTAATCCAAGTTTATCGAAGATTCAAACCTTTTAGCATCGCAAAATCATTTATTTTTCTGATCCAAGATTATTACTTCAAGATTCGAATCTCTTCCACTTTCAGAGCCAAGTTCATTCAAAAAAGTTAGTGAGCATTTTTGTAGAGTGTGTCTGCTAATGCTTTTCCATCATTTGACTATTTCCAGTGAGGTGTTTTTGCGAAGTACATCAGCGTACACTAGCTAACATTTTCTTCTTCCTAACTAGGATTATTTTAAGCAATGTTTGTATCTGGCTAATACATCTCAGCTAGGATGGAATTGTATAATTTTAAATAATAAATAAATTAAAAAATTTAAAAAAATTTAACTACCGAACTCAATAAGAATCAGATTGGAAAAGATTCTTCATTAAGTTCATTGAGATAGGTTTTTAAGGACGTCTTAAATTAAGCTAATGTAAAAAATTAAGTTAAAAATTACAAAAAAAAAAAAATTAAAACAAAAAGAAAATAAAAATTTTTAATTTAAACATTGAATAAAAAAAATCCCGGATTATAAAAAAATAAAATGTGCATAATCAAATTCAGAGAATGCAACTTATACAATCATCTAATATTGTCTGATTGCACAATTATACTCAATAATTTTTTAGTTATACTGAGTCTTTGACCAAGGATTACTTTACAATCATGCAATTGGTCAACAACAAGGTGTTTGTATAGATCTACAAGTTGATCAAAGATATATTATTTTGGTAAACCACAATAAAAAAAAGCCTGGGTTGGAGACGAGCAACAAAATTGCATTTTCTAATTGGTTATCAGTTATACAAACCCGAAGTATTGGTTACAAGTTATTGGATTTGGATTATACATAAAACAATCGATTTTTACTGAGTATGAGAGGTTATTGGTTTTGACAAGAATAATAAATATATATTATTAATTATATATATATATATATATTATATTTTATAGAGGTGTGGCGACTTAGTGAAGTGGTCTAGTTGTCACCCTCACCAAACATTATGGGAAGATCTCATGTTCAAATCCCAGGGACGGCGCTTTTGTAATATGGAAAAAGTCTGCGACAATCTTTACTAAGGTTGGCCCATGGAGAATCTGTCGAGACGGTGTCTGGATGGCACTGTTGAGGTGATTCCGGAAGGCTGTAATTTGTGGGCTGTGCATAGCACGAGTCACAGGACCAGAGATCGAAGCCCGTTTGGAAAGTCCCGAGTTGAGAGGTAGCAGTAATCTTTGACAGTACTACATGAAGGCTGAATTTGAACCGGGGCCCGAGATTGGTGAACCGAGTGATCAGGTCCTTTA